GACCATAAATTTTTTATAATTTTTTTGAATTAATCATACCTTTGTAATTTGAAAGTCTTTTAAAAAAAATCCCGGCGTCAGAGAGAAAAAATAAAAACCTACTTTTACTACTTTTGGCCCTAGTTTCGCGAATATATTAATTTGCGTGTGTGTAAAATTGACTGTCGCACGGTGTTTCTATATAAAGCTATACCTATTTTTAGCAGTTATAGATATGGTTGTATTGGTCATGATTTCGGACTAACAGTAAGTAAAACTACAGAGAAAATATGTAAAATAAAACCAGCTTATCTGTTTTTCCTTAATTTGAAGATAAGAAACCGGTTTATTTCAAATTGCCATTTCTCGAATAACTCGAAAACCGATTTAGTAGAAAAATGAATTTAAATAACTTGTATAAGTATCTACTTTAAACTCGTCTCATGCCTGCAAATATGCATTTTTATTGGAAATTATAATATTCCGTTTTTATAATATTTGGCCACTCTAATCCCATTGTGCATCGTAAGTTCATGCATGAAATTTGTACATTTGTGTGGTTATTAGTCTAGCTGAAGATGAATTGCACTTGATGTCATAATATCAGAGTAAGCAGATCAGTGAGTGCACAATCGAAATTTGTTGACGCTTAGACAATGCGACCTGTGATGCGCACGCTATGTATGTAAATATATTTGTACGTTTACCCGAAAAAGTACATAAATATGCAATGACTGATTGCACTTGCAATAATTCGCTAAAATTTTCTCATGCCAACTACTACAGTCTGCATGTGTATGTACTCAGAGATACGTAAAATACACACAGCATACATATACATATGTATGTATCAGGGCTGTTGCGAATATTTGCATTCGCATTCGTTATGCGAATGATTCGCATCATTTTACACAGTGTAGACGGCCTTATATACGAGCCACTAAAATATCGCATCAAGGAAGAAAAGGCAGCAAAATTACTTTTTTTTTAAATATAATATGCCACTTTTGAACTTTGACTACTAGATTTAAACATTGTATGCATTAAGCACTCGTTCAATCTTCTAATAATTTACAAAATTTTTAAGTAATAAAAACGATGGCTTAAGTTGATTATAGCTTTTTTAATGTTATTCCTAAAATTCGCATTCGCGAATGTAAAAAATATGGCATTCGAAACATCCCTAGTATGTATGCACATATCTAGTTTGTATTCAAACTTAAAATGCGCATGCGCGCCTGGTAAGTGTTAAGTTTTTATATTTATTTGGTACAGAGGGTTAAAAGAAAATTGATGCTTTTATATATAACTAGCTAGGCGTGCTTCACTGCGCCTTAAACGTATATTTGTGCTGTTCGATAGCCGTTTTTTTTTAATACTTCATTTATTTTATCAATTTAATTGAATACAATTTTTTAAACAGGAGGCAACCCTCCTAAAAAATTTTACCGGCAGTAAACTTTCCTAAACCGCTTCAATTAAATTAAATTAAAATTTTCAAACAGGTGGCAACCTTCAACAAAAATATTTTCGTCTGTAAGCCTTCTTAAATCTCTTTCTTTTAACAGCCATATTGCAGGATTTACTTTATCTTTTCAATTTACTTAAACTGCGATTTTCAAACAGGTGGCTACTCTCAAATTTTGTTCTTTCTATATTTTAAGTTAGACCTTACGATGCTCTAATAAAGACCCCCAAATTAATTTTTAATTTAATGAAATTGCACAAAGCATGGCACATCGATCGTTGCAGCTGCAGCGCGAAGCGCAGAGGTGGCCACCTCCCATCTTTATGCGCGCGTTGACAATCCAGCCGGTTTAATATTTATTTTGTTTCGTCCAAATTCGAGTTTTCATGCAGAAACATCCCTGCATGAAATGGGACTAGTTTGTAGCTAACTACACTGGATCACAAATTTTAGTTTGAATTTAGTTTTCCAGACGGTACTATTCAATTTCTATGTAGAATTCCTCGGTGATTCCGAAAATCGTAAGATATACGTGATTTAAAGGGAGCAACTTTTGCTTTAAGCTGAATAACGGTAAATTGAAAATATCTCGAGAACGTACCCGTAGATAAAAATTAACTCGATTTTCGGAATCACCGAGCAATTCTACATTGGAATTGGATAGTGGCATCCATAGAACATTTTTGCTGTAAACCAGTGCTATTAACTAACTAGCAGTCGACTAGTGTAACCGTTTATTAACTATTTCCTTTCGCCATAACTAACTACTTTTGAAGGGCGCTGGCCGCAAAATAGTGATCCCTGGTTTCCTCTGCATTAAATGTCAACTAAATTGTAGCCAACTAATTTGGACATAAACTATCAAATCGAATTTTTTTTTCTATTTTTTATATTTTTTTATATATTTTTATTTGTTTTAATTAAAATGCCAAATTTTGCTTACATGTTCTTTTATAGGTGCTCCCACATTTGAATTCCATCAGACATAACATCAAAATAATAATGTAAAAGTCGATCTTTATTTGATTTGTCCTCAATTCGAAAAAGAATCTGCGAAGTGCAGAAAAAAGTGTACTGAAAGTATTTTTTGTAGGAGGATATTTAAATGGAAACTTGTAATGAAAACAAACTTCCGATAACTTCTGCATGACTGCTACTCGTCTTTACAATTAATTTTAAATGAGTTGTGTCATAGCTAATTAAAAATTGGTTATTTATCGAAATCCCGCAAAAAAGCTAACTATAAGTTGGTTATTTTAATCAATTGATCCAGGGATAAAATTTAATTACATTGCTGATATTTTTAAAGTTAAATATATAGAAGTAATTTTTAAGTAAAAACAACAACTTTGACGAATAAAAAAGCGAAACAAATTGTTTTCTTGGCGTTCTTTGTGTCATACCATTTGCGTGGAAAGTTTCATCTGTGCTGGAAAGGCCATAAATTTATAAGTAAGTATAAATGTAGGTACTTTTTATTGGCCACGTTCCGGTAACTGCAAGCATTTTCTGTCAATGAGATTAAACTAAATTGGTTAACTAAAGTAGCTACAATTTAATTTCAACTTTAATTGCTTACATGTGCTTCTCGCAATTAGCTTAAGCAAAAAAAAAAACAAAAATAAGAAAAGAAGCCATTTGTAGTTACATATGTGTAGGTGCATATGTACAAACGATCATATTCAATTGTTTATGTGGAAAACATCAGTAGCTTTGGGCATGCTCTATGAACAATTCCCGCTGACCAGTGATTGTGCGCGCATGCGCTGTAATTGAAAATGTACGCAAGTCAAGTACGAATATGTACTTACTGATATTATTATAAAAAATATCTAGTTGCATACATATACATGATATATTCTTGCAGTTGTAAGAAATTTTTTTTTTAACTTTGTCTTTATATGTATGTATGCCCAATGAACTCAATGCTGACTTACATATATGTATGTATGTATATACCTTTGTATATTGTACACCTGCATAGATAGGCATAATTGTGAGTTTACGTGTGTGTGAATGAAATTTTTTTATTAAATAATTAGCTTGAAACCGCTCTTTGTATATGGAACACATGTCAGTATTTTGTACTTGACATTTTCATGCAGATGTGAGTTAATTGTAACTACAACGCAATTTTTTGTTTCTTTTTTACTTAAGACTTTCTGAAGCGCAACAGATGTAAGGTTGAGCTAAGCACCATGCCATCTTTAATTACTATATATATACATATATGAACATATGTATGTACTCTTAATTACTAACTACATATAAAAAAACTGGAACTTATTTAGAAAATTTTGGTAAATTTTTGATACTCGCATTTGTACTTTGAACGGGTTTCTTCTATGATTTGAGGTAATCAATTAAATGTTTTTTTTTTTGCAAACTGAAAGACCTAAAATCAATTTCAATAAGAAGCCACCATGCATTTAGAAAATGTGTAAGCTCCAAAAATATTATTCTTATATTACTCAGGGGCCGAAAGTAATGCATATTTTGATCTATTAGGAAGACTTGTACATGAATAATCGTCACCTTTGAACACTTATTTCTTGGATCAAAAAGGATAGCCATTTGAATATTTATTTTTGTGATAAATTTTAATCCATATAATTGAGACTAATCTTTGTCCATCACACTTGCGTTCTCACTGTCACACGGTGTAATAAAGCCCCATTGTAGTAAAGTTAGTAAATTTTATTTACGTGTAATGCTTTTCCAGAATACGAGTGTTTTACGATTTAAATTTCAAAATTAAATTTTCGTGAATTTTTTTTTTAAGAACATGTTTAGAATAGATGAACTGAAAAATGTATATTTTGCCAAAACCTCAACCAAACTCTTTTCTCAATGTAGTAAAAGAATTTGACTTTCGGTCGCCTGGCGGTTTTTCAGTTTCTACGAATGCCGCTTTGTTGACCAGAGTTTGCGTTTCGGTTTTATAAAAACCTTGGGCTTTCCGAAGTGTTAGTTATCCTAAGCTTTTTTTCTTATACCCCTTCCTACCTGCATTGTTGTTTTTCGCACCTTTTGCTCTCTATAGAACGCTTTACAATGCCTAGATTAAACTCTTGGACCATCTCCAAGATTAAAGCTGGGTTTGATGGTGTGACCCGTATTCAATCAATCGCCCTTTCAGGGCAGGGAATGGTGAGATTTACATAAGAAATAATATTTGATCTTCACTTACCAGAGATATTCCATGGTTGGTGGTGTGCCTTCGTGATCTGTATGCAACTTATCTTTCCTCGGTACGGGTGGTATGATAAGTTACGTCGCATGCATAAAAACTGAGCTTAAGCTCAGACTCAATTTTTGCACTTAGGAAGTCTGATCAAGCTCTAGAATTTGAACTGCAATTCGAGTCATAGATTAAGCTGAATTTTTATGCATGATGCCCATTGACTCGGCGCTGAAACTGGTAATTTTAAAATTTGTATCCTTAAATAGAAAAACTATTAACATTGAAAGAAATTTTGAGAGTTTAGGCATTTTAGCAACTGGTATGACTGTACTTTAATGTGGAAAATATTTGTATTTTCACATTTTTCAGGTCTCACACCAATTACATACATAAAACCGCATGTCGAGGGTGCATTGACAATGAAATTCCTCCAGAAACCAAAAATACTCTCGAAAAGGACATGAACAACGAAACAGCGTTTCCAAGCCGCCAGCGAATTTTAAATGTACATAATCCTCAGCCAATCGCTAACCGATTACCAAAAATAAAAAGAAAGTACAAAAAAGTACGCTTAAAATCGAAAAGAAAGTGGTTGGCTACCTGTGCGAATACAGTCGCGCTGATATTTTTAACACTACTACAGCCGGTGAGCAGCAATCGCCCGCCACGATTCGCCATCGACGGTGGTCAAGCCGAAATTGTTTTGCGACTGAAGGAGAGTCCAGAGACTGTCGTCGGTAAGTTTTAACAAAAAATCAGTGCGATTGTTCACGCTTGCCTGTTTAGCGGGTTATCTGCTTAGAAATTATTATTCTGTAGTGTATTTTATTGTTGTAAACTGAATAAAAAATATAACCACATAAGCTGATAACCAGGCAAGCGTGAACAACTTCAATCTAAAATCAGCATTTGCCTACTTTTACAAGCTTTTATTTAACTTGCTCTGTATGTACATTAGACCACTTAAAAAAAAATAAACAATAAAACTCCTGCAATGCGACCGGAATAAGACTCAAATTTTAGCGTTTGGCATAGTAAAGATCCACCATGAATCTCACCTCGCTAGGACATTTGTAAGACGTAAGAAAATGAGTTCTTTCCTGTCGAGGCCAATATAATTTTCTAGCATCAAAGCAAATCTAGTATATACCATTTTTTTTTTTTATTAATGAGTTGTCTTATTCCGGTCGCATTGCACAATTTTTTTGTGACGTGGTCTAATGTACATATGGATGTATGTATGTAAGTATATTTGTTTGGGGCAAATCTTGAACCACTTCCCGATGACCTAGCGACTTGAAACTTCGTAGTTGGCTTAGAGCCCGATGACAATGCAATACGAAAGTTGAGTTAGTGCGGTAGATGGCGCAGGAGTCGAGATATTTGAAAACCCCGTATTTATAAACCGATTTGATTCAGATTCGGAACATGTATTAATTACATTAAAAGGAATAACTCCACTGTTGCCGTTAGGAGGCGTAGAAGTCGAGATATTTGGTAAACCAGTATTTATGGTCCGAATTTGTCCATATTTAGAAAGTTTGCTTTAAAAATATTTTTTTTTCTATTAACTTATTTTAGCTATAAAAAATAAATAAAAAAATTGCTGATCATTTTGAAATTTCGCTGTTCCTTAGACTTCTATATAGTATATTTTAATCGTAGAAGTGAATGGCTCTTACACAAATATAATTTTGACTTCCTTAGGCTCCCAGATATACACTCTTAAAGGTTTCGATCCCGATAATGATCCCTTGGTATTTGGTAAACGCCCATCGCATGATAGCGAAATCATACGCATCGAAAACACAGGAGGCAATGAGGCTAATGTCTACTTGGCCAAAGAATTAGATAGAGAGGTTTGTAACCTACATATATATATATCCATATTAGAGCTCTCGCTGCCCTTAATTTCAGCTGACGACCTTTTATTATTTTTGCCACAGTTAAAAGACGAATATTCCATAGTTTTAACGCTAACCGATAACCATTACAACGACTACAATTATGTAACGCAAAGTTTTCTGCTGCTCGTAGAGGACATTAACGATAATGCACCCATATTTTTACCCTATCAAAGCGCCATCGAAATACCCGAAAACAGTGATCCTGGTATTATAACAACGCTAGAGGCAACGGATGAAGACGAAGGTGCCTACGGACAAGTAGTCTACTATCTTCAGGAATTGGATGGTGACAACGACATGTTCTCCATTTCAACGTACCAGGGCAAGGGTGTACTCCGATTGATGGGCGAGTTGGATTACGAAACTAAAAGTTTATATCAATTGCGTGTTTTAGCCGTAGACCGAGCCCATCAGGGACCTGTCAATACAGGCACTGCTGCCATTCTAGTCAAAGTAGGCGATGTAGGTGATCAACCGCCGGAATTTGTTGAAGTACAAGCTGTAACGCGCATACCTGAGGATGCAGAGATTGGTACGCGCGTGCTGCGTGTACGTGCCATTGATGGCGATCGTGGCATCAACAATCCAATTGAATATGAATTGGAGTTGACGGAGTTGTTCGATATTGATCGGCATACGGGCGTAGTTTACACGGCGCAGCAACTCGATCGTGAGGATAGCAGCAAGCAAGTAAATGGAGCGTATATTTTGAAAATAACAGCCACCGAGGTGCCACATGTGCGTATGAGGGTGGTTGTGTTAAAAACCACCGACCATGACATTGATCACTGACTAATTAAATATTGTTTACAAATCGCTTGTTACATTTTTTTTTTTTGTAGTCTCAAATGAGTGCATCGGAAGAGGTGATGCAGGTCAAAACGGAAGTGACCGTGATCGTGACGGACGTAAATGATGAAATACCAACATTCAGACAACCAATTTACCGCTGTGAGGTGAATGAGAATTCCCAAAGCAATACACCATTGAGTTTTATTGACGATGATGTACAGAATTTCGTCGAAGATCATGACGTTGGCAGCAATGGTACATTTCGTTTGTTTTTGGATCCACCAAATGATGTCTTCGAAATTGTGCCGGCTGTGGCAGTGAATGAGGTAAACTTTATGGTGAGAGTGAAGAATGCCAAGTCGATCGATTACGAAGAAATGAAGGAGATTAATTTCACGCTTTTTGCGAGAGAAATCGATGAGCCGGATAGGTGGAGGTAAACCAATTTTCTCAAAATAGTATCGTAAATATTTATTCATTTGTACTATATGTACATTGACAGCTCAGCGCACCTTCAAGTTTATATTCGCGATCAGAACGACAACTTTCCCGAATTCACACAGTCAATCTACAACACCAGTATACCGGAGAATAGTGACCTGGGCGCGATAGTTGCCAAAATAGAAGCAACAGATATAGATTCAGGCGACTTCGGCACTATGGGCATACGATTTCACAATCTGCGAGGAGGCATAGCTCATTTGTAAGTCATTAATTGACCTTCGACCAACAATTTGTGAAACTCGAATAATTTTTCTAGATTACATCTTAATCCAATAACGGGGGTTATTACCATTAAGCAGCCCGGTGACTCCGCATTCGATCGCGAGATCAATTCGCTTCATTACCTTACCGTCGAAGCTATCGATAATGTTGGCATTGGGAACCGCAACACCGCACAGATCCTAGTCAATATTGAGGATGTCAATGACAATGCGCCAATCTTTGTACAACGTCACTACGAGGCAAAATTGCTAGAGAATAAGCGCGAATTCGAAACGCCACTACTTGTCGAGGCGCGCGACATAGATCTCAATGGCACCGAGAATAGTCAGATCACTTACGAGATTGTAGAAGGTCTCTATCGTGAAAATTTCACTATAGACCCCGGACGTGGTCTGCTACGGCCATTGCATTCGTTCGATTATGAAGAGTTGTTAGAGAATAGAGGTCGTATACGGCGACGTGCCGATAATGGCATACGCGAGATCGATTTGTTGGTACGGGCGCGAGATTCAGGCATACCGATGCTCTCTACTGTGGTGCCGGTGCTCATATATGTCGAAGATGTAAACGATAATCTGCCCATATTTCAAAAGAATTTCTACGCTAAAACTATACCAGAAGACCTACCCGGCGGTAGTTCGATATTACAGGTGATGGCTATCGACCGTGACGGATCGGCGCCGAACAATGTGGTTGTATATCGCATACAAATGGGTGCGAGTGATAAATTTGTCATCAATTCGGAATCGGGCGTAATATCGGTGGCACATGGCGCGAACCTGGATCCAGATCTGACGGAGCCAAAGAAGCTCGTATACACCCTGACTGTGGTAAGATGAAATCTTTGAATATGAAAGTGGGTAATGGCGTGTAATATACTAAACTAAATATTTGACTTTCAGCTCGCTTTGGATGGGGGTATAGGCAATTCACAACTCATGAACTCTGCAACGGTTAATATAACCATAAAGGATGTGAATAATAAACCGCCTGTTTTGGGAGAGCTTCCAACCATACGCATCATGGAAAATACGATTGTGGGCACACAAGTGTATCGCGTTAGAGCTACGGATCTTGACGAATCACCAATCATTCGTTACCGCATAAATCGTGACAATTGTGAAGCGCGTAATGAAGAGGGCACTTTCGTCAAACTGACCGAATTTGATTTTTTAAACGCCTTCGATTTAGATCCCATCGGAGGAACGATAAAAGTAAGTTTTTGCAAATATATTTGCGAAATATTTGCTACAAATAAGGCATTTTTTTACAATAGCTTCTCAAACTCCTGGACCGCGAGAAGATCGAATATTTAAAGCTGGCCATAAGCGCGGAAGATTTAGCTGCAGTAAAAGGAAAACAAGTCGCTGAAGGTAATCGCATAATGTATTGTGGAAAGATTTTCCTTCATCCCACGTCAAATTTGGCTTAGGGACAAACCGGTTTCGGCGTTGTGCAATCTTCAGTGTCATTTTCATTTCACATTGTTTGTCATAAGACGGCGGATGTTTATGCAGAAAAAGAAGCCTAAAAATATGTACCATGTAGCTATAAGAAATGTATACAAATTTATAGTAAATTTTGCTTATAGTTAAGTGGTGCATATTTTTAGGCTTCGTTTTCTGCATAAACATCCGCAGTCTATTGATAAGTTTTACTTATATCTTCATGATTTGCAATTGAAAATGAGAGTATTTAAAAAATATTTCTACGAAAATGGCACAACGCCGAGACCGGTTTGTCGCCAAATCAAATCTGACAAGGGATCACCGAAAATCGGCCGGAAACTCCAGCAACCAAAATGAGAATATTCGCCTGGCCTTAACTTTAGAAATTTAAGTAAAATTAGGGGATTCACAAGACGTGTTAACCGTCGTAACATCTTAAGCTTAGCATTTTAATGTAAAATAGTGATTAAAATGGTTTAAGAGGATTTCTAACTACACCGAAATGTTTTTAAACTGATAAAAAATATATAAATTAGCGCCCCTAAAACCATTTTGGCCGTTATTTTACATAAGAAAAAATGTTAAGCTTAAAATTTTACGATGGTTAACACGTCCTGTGAATACCCTAATTCTTTACTATGTTCTTACAATACATTTCTTCTCGCAGCCATTCTAAATATAATAATCGAAGATGAAAACGACAATAATCCGAAGTTCAAGCAGCCGTTCTATCGCAAAACGATAACTGAGAATAGTATTAACGGTGTATTAATTGCGAATATACTTGCCTATGATTTGGATAAAAATAAAACCATCACATATTCGTTGGAGGGTAATCCCGCTGTAAGGAATCTAGTACATCTCGACCCACAAACGGGTGAGATGGTGGTTGCAAATAAAATCGATCACGAGCAATATCAGTGGTTGAATTTGACGGTGCGTGCAACTGATTCGGGTATACCGCCACGAACCGCGCTCGTCGATGTTTATGTGTCGGTTTTAGACGAGAATGACAATAATCCGTATTTTATTGGTGGTACCAAGAACTATTCAATTAGTGAAAATGCTGAAATTGGCGCACGAATTGGCACCGTACAGGCAACCGATGCTGATTCGGGAGATTTTGGCAAAATCACATTTCTAATGGATCGCATTAGTTCGCAGGTGAGTAATATTTGGGGTAGAGCTGATGTAATATTCATTGCATTGTGGATTGGGAATTTTTTAGGGAAAATTCTCAATTGACGCAGACACTGGCGTGCTCTCTGTCGCCGATAGATTAGATCGGGAAACGAAAGATTTTTACATGCTAGTGATCGAGGCTTGGGACAACTACCAGTTTGGTTTCTTGGCAGGCGAAAGTCGTAATGCCTTCAAGCAAATATTGTAAGCAATTCTTTAAAATACCCTAGTGCATATATGTATATGTATGTATGTATGTATGTAATTAACTTGTATACACTTTCAGCATAACCATACTGGACGAAAATGATAATGCACCCGAGGTTTTTCTGCCCACAAGTTGTGTGCTGATTACCGAATACCACGAGTTGAATGAGAAAATTACAACTATTCGTGGCAAAGATGCTGATGATCCGGAATCGCCAAATGGTCGTTTAGAATTTCAAATAGCAAAAGGCAATAGATATGGTGAGTAAATAATTTGCTTTACGCAGCCTGCTTGCATAGAGGCAATTGGAGTGTTCTTCAATTTATTTCAGATCTATTCGAGTTACGCCAAATCGACGAATGGACTGCAAATATTTACGCTCGCACACATTTGCGCAACAAGTTCGGTAATCACACACTAACCATAGCCACGCGTGATCTAGGTGTACCATCGAATGTTGTTACCAAAACTTTTGATATTTGTGTATCGGATTTTAATGATCATCCACCAGTTTTTGTTACGCCGTTACATAACACTACGCTACGCATACCCGAAAATACTACCGTCGGCACAGAGCTGCTGCAAGTGCTGGCCACCGATGAGGATATCGGCGTAAATGCTTTGGTGCATTATCGCTTGAAACCGGATCCACTGGGCAGCTATAAGATATTTCAGATCGACAGTGAGACTGGACAATTATTTTTGAAGGAGAAATTAAATCGCGAGAAGCAGAAGATACATGAGGTTAGAGCGCTGCAGATTGTCTATCGTTTTTAAAATTTTTTTAATATAGCAACTATTATACTGCTCATTTCGAACATTTCATTGCTTCAGCTCGCTTCAAGCGAGAAAGCTACATAAGTTATTTTATAATGGCTACCCTACCCAAAAATAATTCCGAATTTTACTTTAAAGGCCGAATTGTAATATTTTGCAAATCTTGTGCCATTTCATCAAACCTAATTTTCTTGAGGGTATTTAGTTTAGTATTCGCATTCAACTTTAATTTTGCATAGGCTATTACAAAATCTGGATTACATTAATTCCATAGTTTAATTATTTCTGTGTTCATTTGGAAAAGTAGCTTATGTCGAAAGGCTGGCTTTAGTATAATGCGGCATTCCCTTTACTCTTTAAACGGCAAGGAATTTTTTGATGAGACTTAATAAGAATATTGACTTGCTAGTATCGGAACTACTTCTTGCACGTTTATTTGCCGAAAGTGAGTCATTCGCAATCGTATGCTGCGAATGCCGATTTATTATAAAAAAATACCCTTGAGCGTCACATCAGTTTTAGGCTTTAGACGGAAAAAATTGTCAAAAATTCAACTTATGAAATATAAAGTTAAATTTGTAATTTCCCGTGTAAAATTGCTTAAGATAATTGCAAAAAAAAAAATAATTTATTAAAAAATTTGAATTCTGTAGTTTAGACTCGCTATATTTTAAATGCAATTTTATTTTTTTGAAAATAAAAACATTACTAAAGTTTAAAGGAGTAAATCTTAAAATCGGGTAAAATTATGCTTTTTCCATTCCATAAATCAGAAGTATGGTTCTTTATCTGTTTAAAAATAAAATAAAAATTTGCCTTGTCTTTTAAATGTTTAATAAAGGCCTAGTTTTTTTAAAAGAGTTACCAAAAAAATTAATTCAAATTTTTTAATAAGTTAAATGAATTATTCAAAGAATGGGGAATTAGGTCACTGAAATATGTAGACGAAAGAGGTTTAAGCTATGAGCTTGCAAATATTTTGAAGAGGGTCGTCACCTGTTTTCAAATCGTATCTAATTAAATTATACAAATTGTGTATATACGAAAAGTTAAAATATTTCTATCAAACTAAAGGGTTACGGCATCGTATTTGTTATTTTATTACAGTATGCCATTTTGCCACATTGCCAATGGGTGACATGTTTTCTTGCTCCTTAAATTAACTTTATGGTTTCAGGAATGTGTTTATTCTTCACTTATTTTTTGCTAAATTTGTTCTTTGGTCTGTCTCCCATGTTATTATACATATTTCAGTTACCCAATTAATTAATCGAATTTAATTTTGTAAACAGGTGGCAATCCTTATACGTGTGGTTAAAGGTGCCCACACTCACCGACGTGTACGTAGCCGTGTCTGTTTGACAAAGCAACCTATAAAATTTACTGTTGATAGAGAGAGAGAGAGAAGCACGCGTAACCGTCGCACGTACACGATGGTGAGTTTCCATTTACATGGCGCTCTCATAAATTTGATCGTGTTCAGCTGACACGTTAACGTACGTGAGTGTGGGCAAATCAGTTTCAACTCCAACAGCAGGGTGAATAGTGTTCCCTCCATCACTAGGTAGCCCTAGATATTTTTACAAGTGTCCGTCAAGTCGCCCAACTCTTTGGTAAAATTTTCGGGGGTTTTTCCTGTCGGCCAGCATTTCAAGCTGTTCTCATTCACGTATTTCGGTATATCCCGTCTTATTGCGACAGCTCCCTACCGTTTATCACAACATGATCGATTTGCTTTCTCGTTTTTCGATCTTGAAATAGCTCAGTAACTTGATGGATCTTTTTATGCTTGAACCTTATGTATATTGCACACTGCAATATTTCGGGCCTTGGCGAAGTCGATCAGCATCAGTCCGTTATTGGATTCTTCGTACTTCCCTTCCGTAGGGCGTAGGCGAAAATGGGCGAGATGGTGAAGACTCTCGCTTTGATGCGGATTGTGGCCATACGCTCGTCCTCCGGGATGAGCGACAGTACTTGGCGACGGAGTCTCTTTACCATCCCAAGCCCCACACGGATTTTGCGCTCCTTTATATGGCAGCTAAAGTGGACGTCGCAAGGCCCAGTCATTTTTTGCCTTGCCCCGTCCAACGCATTTATTGGATTTATTGTCAGCCGGTGATGACATGAACCTGCCGGGCAGAGCCACCTTCTTCATTAAAGATCCGGACATTCCAGGTACATCCCCTCAAATCGTAGTTCTTTCCTTCTGGTAAGCAGACGCTACAGATTTCAGTGAGCCCTTAAACCGAATAAGTCGAGGTGGGCACGCCGAAGCTCTCTCTCTTTCTGTCGGGACCCAAGACTCCACTCGATTTGGTTATCGCATCTCGTACTTGGAACACAAGAGTCGAGATTGAGTATAGCCGTGCAACTGTAACTGCATGCTTAGGAGAACGACTATGACCCATTTTACCCCGGTGCATACATTTATCATACGCCAAATTTTAAAACTCTGGCTCTTTTTTTATAAAAAATTAGAGCGTAGTCAACAGCTCCTTACTAACTAATCCAAATGTGTACACATTTTCTTCTACACTGAATAACTTTACTTTGCATATTCTCATTTGCAGATAAGAATCGAAGCATATGATCAGGGACTGCCTACCTCTCTGAGTACCGATCTAGATTTAACGATCTACATACGGAATGTAAACGAATACGAACCGCAATTTGTGGTTGAAGAAATACACGTTAACTTTACAGGTTTGTAAATCAATATTTTTCAATATGTACACGTTATTTTTAGAATTCATAGTGCTTATTTTAATTAACCTCTATAGAGCATGCCGATCCTGGCTCGGAGCGTGTCAAACTACCCGACACAATCGATAAGGACGAGGTAGATGATCTCGACGATCCGCCCAGCTCAGTTTGCTATTTTATTGTAAAAGGAAATGAGCAGGGCTATTTTAAATTAGATCCCGAAACACATATACTCAGTGTGGAGAAAGAACTGGATCGTGAAGTAATTGCCAACTACACTCTCTTCGTGAGGGCTACAGAGAATTGCGCTAACGAAAAACTCGCATACGTATCCAAACAAATTTCCGCAACCCGTCGTTCAGATAATATTGTTGGTATTACGACGGCTTTACGGCCAGAACTCTCGAGCTTAGGGCGAAAGCAAGGCGGTTTTCTACGCAATTCCGATCATTTCGATCGCTACAAGCATTCGCGCAATTTGCGTTCGATTAACGAAGATGACGAGACATCCACAGAGCAGGAATCATATGAATTCGCTGACTCAGACAACCCATTGACAAGCGAGGAGCTGCTACTATACGATAGTACTGTGGTACGCGTACGTGTACGCGTCTTGGACATCAACGATAATCCACCACGTTTTCGCACGAAAGTGTTCACCGGTGGTATAACGACAAATGCTGATTTTGGCACGAAATTTATGCGTATCGAAGCTTTTGATCCGGATGAGGGTTTCAATGCTAAGATTTTTTATTATATGGTCGGCGAGATTAGGCAAACATTATCAGAGGGTTTGGAAAATGTTAGAAAATCACCATTTCTTGTGGAACGCGACACGGGCGATGTGCAATTAAATTTCGATCCACAAAAAAGTATGAAAGGATATTTTGATTTCATGGTCTTGGCAAACGATACTTTAGGTATGAAGGATGTGGCGCATGTGTTCATCTATTTACTAAGGGAAGATCAGAAGGTAAAGTTCGTTTTCCGACTGCAGCCGGATGAGTTGCGTCTCAAAATCAGCACATTTAGGGATACACTCAGCAATGTCACCGGCGCAATTGTCAATATAGATGAAATTAAAGTGCATGAAAACAAAGATGGCTCTGTTGATAAAACAAAAACCGATCTTTATATGCATTTTGTAGAGCGAGAGGATAATTCTATTTTAGAAGTGCCTGAGGTGCTAAAGCTAATCGATCAGCACATCGAGCAATTGGATGATCTATTCAAGGAGCTCAACGTATTGGATACACAGGCAGCGGAAGCGGAACTACTGGTAGCTGGACCACCGAAGCCCATGTTCGTTTGGTTAATATTCACTAATCTGTTTATGACGACATTGTTAGTGGTAACCTTGGGTCTGTGTGTGTCGCAACGAAAGGGTTATAAGAGACAGTTGCGCGCCGCCAAAGTTAATATTTTCAGTAAGTTTACTTGGAACAAGCAAAAAA